ATTGGTGTTTACTCTATTTGAAGTCTGTATTAAATTGTATAATGTCACATCTGTACTCATTCTTTCACTGTATTTCCCAATTCCTTCTCTCTGAATCTTTTAATAGAGCCCGCTTCTCTCAGATTGTTTCGACTTCTTCCATTTTCATACACTTCTCTCATACACCACATCACTCTTATTCATCCTGAATATATTGGTATAAAATGTCCACTTCAGTCTCATCTGCCCTGATTTGTAGAGAAAAATATGTGCTCAAGCATTCTTTTAACATAAAAATGGACAGAAGACATGAGGACAGAAGTTCAGTGTTTGTTTGTCAAGGCTGGCTACAGCAGATGGGGCAGCCTGGAGCAGGAGCCATCAAAACCAGTCGACTGATGGTGGCTGGGTACTGGGCAATGCGGGTAAAGGGTCCCCATTGACACACCAGACAGGAATGCCATGTGTTTAGAAAACAAGATTCACAGTGGTTTGTCCTATGCATATTTTGCTTTCCGTGAAATTCCCATCACCATTACTTTGCTGTGGTTGGGTTAGAGTTGCATCCCTAAACCAGCAGGAGATAATAACCTCCTGACTGCTACTGCCGTGAAATGATGCCAGTGAAAGAGGTTCATGTACTGGGCATCTAGCTTTGAGGTCTGTAACTACTCTTCTCTCACCCCCCACAACATAGCCCTTATCCCAGCACACAAATCCACACACACACACACACACACACTGCATCCCCTACAGACACATACAACTATGCCTACAACAGCTCTATCTGCCAAACAATCTCTTACCTGTTGCTGCCAGCCTGATCCACATTCCTCTCTTACCTGCTGCTGCCAGCCTGTACCAACCCATCTTTTGCCTGCTGCTACCAGGTTATGCCACATTGTTTCTTTCCTGTTGCTGACAGCTTGTATCACATCATCTCTTGCATATTGCTGCTAGTCGGTGCCACTTCATCTGGGGGGGAGACAGTGGAGCTTGGGGGAACAAAGAGACACACAAAGGGGCTGGAGGGGAGAAAGAGACCCACAGAGGGACTGGGGAGGAGAAAGAGACCCAAAGGGGGGCTGGAGGGAGAAATAGACCCAGAAAGGTGCTGGAGGGGAAGACACACATGGGGAAGGGGAAAAAGAGGCACACAAAGAGGGCAGTGGGAAGAAAGAGGAAAAGTTGTAAATTTTTGTTTTCTGTGTGGTGGAGTGCAAGTAGCTGGTCTTGCCTAGAGCGCATAATAGTCTTGCACTGGCACTGACCACACCTGAGCGACATACATGCTTAGGTCTAGCTTACGTCTCTGATTAGGCCTGTTTTGAGGTTAATAGTATTGTACTTGTTCTGTTGTGTGCCTAAGTCTTGCAAGAAAAAAACAAAAAGTATTGTTTTCATGCCTTCAAATTTTGCTGACACTATATCCTACTATAGTCCATACCCCCAACAGTAGGAGGTATGAATCTATAACTGTGGTGAGCAGGCCATAAACGTGTCTTGCATGGTGGCATGGCCCACCTTGTAGAGAAGTCATGCCATCTCATAGCCTGTCTGGTCAGCACCTTTCAGGACAGACAATGCTCATAGAGCTGGGGCTCAATGGCCTGACGTTACTCAGAATGAGTGTGGCTATTGATATGTTTGTGCAGCACTTGTTTAGGTGCCCAGAGATGGAAAAAACAGGTAACAAACTGGGTAGGTGGGCTATAACTCCAAATATAGAACATCTTAAACAAAACTAAGATGCTCAAGCACATTCATTTGACATTTTGTGTATTGTGCTTGCAGATGCTTCACATGCACCATGTGAGCAGAAAATCCACCATTTTGAGGACACACATTAATGAAAAATGGTACTGAACATTTGCAAAATGGCCACACATATACAACTCCTATGGAACAACTGCCATTTTGTTCACATGTCAAAGCTTGCTGTAGGACAGCAAATCCCCCAAACTGTTGCTTGGCTCATAAAAGCAATGTTGCTGCTTGCCTAACCTACAAAACCATTTAAAACAATAGTTCTAAACTTTAAAAAATATTGTTACCTCTGTGCTCATAAAACTTTTTTTTTTTTTTACATGTATGGTTTAAAGACTTTCAAAGTTAGCATTTTTCAGTGACTACCAGCAAGAAATTGTTTTAAACCGGTGACCTTGATTGGAAAGAACTACCAATCAATCAGAGGAAATTCATTGAGCCATATAATTTCTCTGTTATTGTGTGACACCTAGCATCACAGTCTGGAGGACAAATTCACATTTCGACATCTGAAAGCTATTAAGTGATGAATTTGCAGGGAAAATAAGGACATGTCTAAGCACTATGTTGAAAAAGATTGGAGGAAATGAACAGTTTGCTGAAGAGAGCAGAAGCATGTTTGTTCAAATACTGTATATAAAAAAAATTATATAAAAAAAAAAAAACATGTCTACTCATTGAAGGCTGTATTGAATGAGAGTGCTTATCACAGCAATCCATAGGAAGGACTTTGGTAGATTTATTTAAGGGCGACTCTACAGCTGTACAAAACGTCATGGTTGAAGCTTAAATAATTGTTCTAGAAGAAACAAATTCTGGAATATAACAAAGACATGAACACTGAGTGTTCTGATATTTTTATATATTTTTTTTTTGCAGGAGAGAAATGGGGGCAAATGCACAGCAATTCCCCTGCTGTGCAAAGACTTAACTGTAAAATTTCACAACAGGCATCTCTGATAATTTCACAGGCTTTATTTCTCGCTATCATAACTTCTTTGAGATAAAAGAAACACAGACAGTCTTTTTAATATAACACTCAGTTAAGCTTCAGGCTCAATTATAAGCAAGCCTATCATGGACCACTGCTTTCATACTTTGTTATAACCTTCGATTACCCTCAAATTGGATAGCAACAGCAATTTTAAGTCAAAGGTGAGATGTGAACATTTAAAAATGGTATGAGCATTGATAATTTAGATATAAGATGTGAGTGCCATAAACACATGATATTAAAATCTAGAAATATATTTTAAAAATGCACACAACCCAGTAGAAATATTGTAAGTGCATCCAGTAAATAATCCATCATTTTAGGACTGGAATGTTTCCAAAACATCAAATATGAATAAAATTAATAAAGTAAAATGACTTTTAAATTAGCGTGCAATGGAACAAGACAAAGTACTATGGAGTTAAGCCATATATACGAGAGTGGATTTAAAAGAACAATAATGTCATATATAATGATTCACCAGAATAATTTAGAATATATATATAGTTAGAGGATTATAAAAAACAAATATTCATGTACATGTGACTATTTGATTATAAAAATAAATAAAAGGACACTGTAGGATGGTGTAAAATACTTTTTAGTGCTTTTTAGAAATAAATCTCAGTTAACCTGTAGAGGGCCAACTTCTGAAGAGATCATTATGTGGCTATTTTTACAGGCAGTCCTATTTCTAACATTGTTTTCTATGGGAGCACTGTGGAAATATCCCCACAGTCTCGGGTCCAGCAAGACAGTTCTGAATTCAGAATACTGTCCCACTTTAAACTACACTGATGGCATTCAGCTTATGGGGAGAACACTTTAGCAGTACATGTGGAGCCCTGAGAGGATCTGGACAGCACCATGGCAGTTATTAATTCTAGGCTGGCATGACACTTTTTCAGATAGCCTGTAGGCATCACCAGCAAAGCAAACCACATCACTGGCATGCCCCTTTTCTCTCATCCCTATCCCAACCTTATGGTCACGGGTTTGTGAGTCTATTGCTGTTATTCCTTCAATCCTCCACTAGTCCTAAATCCAGATATGCTGAATATAGTGAAGGTATTCCCCTTTGTGTAGAGTTTTCCCAATATAATGGACGCAACCAGTCGTTGGGTAAAAGCAGCAATCTGAACTTTATTAGGCCACACTCGGCTTCTTATGCAGTGCCCCTAGCATGGGATTTCGAATACAAAATCACAGGGGTTTCCTTCTCACAAGTTATTGTGATTGAGAGATAATTGAACTCCAATTAAGCTAATCCAATTATCTCACAAATAGGAAAACTTACATACAATTTTTGCATATCACAAAAATACATGACAACAGCATCGGAACCCCACAAAAATTATATTCCTGAATAGCCCCGACCTGAGTGCACAATATATTCAAAAAGTGCTCTTATTTGTTTGGTAAAACGAAAGTTATGTTCGTGCATATATGAACTGGCTGCCTGGTAGAGGTGGGATTGTTAATTTTAAAAGGGGCCAATTTGACTGTATGGGAGGTCAGAGCTTACAACCCAAATTAATCTTTGAAGCTGGGACCGTAGCAGAGCTACTCTGTAAGGTGTGAGAAGTCACATATAAGTGGCCTGGAAGTCTGGGACATAATTGGGACATGATAACTTAATTTCCTGCTGGACACCAAGACATATAGCACAATAGATTTCATCCAGCTCAACATTTTACATAATAACTCAACATTAACACGATGTACCCCCATATCCTATATATCATTTTAAAGTCTGTGACCAGGCCCATAGTCTGTGGGCAGGAGGCTAGCTGTTATGCCTCTCTAGCAGGCTGTGGCACGAGAGCTTCCGTGACACTTACCTTCCAATCTTTGGAGGTATTCTGTCTATAGTCCAGATCCATTGATTCCTTGCCTATTAATTAAAGTTTGTATAGAAAATGTTATGTGGCTTACTGATTTGCTTCATTCTTACACAGTCTGTCTCAAAGTGAGCTAAATATAGAGCACAACTTCTTTCTGTTTCAGAAGTAAGGATAGACTGAGATTTCTCTCATTTTCGATAAGTACCCAGTTTCCCCTTGTCATGTAACACATCTGGAACAACAGGAAAAATTTTCTAAGCTGTGTTTTTAGTTCAGGTATTTGGCCTAAAAATATGAAATTTACTTTGAATTCTCGACAATTAACACTTATTAAATCCCACTGGTTTTACTTAGAAAAAAACTCAAGAATATGCCCATTCTTAACATTAGAAACTATCACTATGGTACTTACTCTCTAAAAATATCACATCTTAATTAATACAACTTCATTCTGTCTGGCCTCCCCCTCTGCTAACTATACTATTTTCTATCCATTATGAAATTCTTTGCTAGACATTGTACCTCACTGAACATTTTGTTTCCCACTCTGTCAGCCTCTCGTTTGGCTCCCTATTAGTTCCAGAATTATATTTGAAGGCCTAAACCGTGCCTCCAAGCTCTCAAGAACATTTCACCCTCTATACGTTTCTTCTATTATCCCAAAATACTCTCCAAATTACCCTCTTGGTTCTGACCAGGACTTACACCTTTCCTCACACATCTCCAAAACTTCTCCCTTGCAGCTCCAATTATCTGGAGTCTCATACCTTGTCTCACCACATTTCACAGCTTTAAATATTTGAACCCTCCCCCTTACCCCACCCTGTTTAGAGAAGCCTACCACCCTCTAATTCATTGATGTCCTATATTAATAAATGTCTCATCCAATCTTCAGCCTAATCATCTCTTTCTACTACAAGTACGTCTTGCCATGTCATTTGGAACCAGTGTGCAGCTGTGCGTATGTTATGATAAATGTTTAAGTGATATATGTCAAACATCAACTTGTCTGTAACCCTGCAATCTTGTACAGAGGTACAGAAACTATACAAATAAATAATAATCGACAATAACTAGATTGTAAGATTTAAACATGACCCTTATTAACGTTCTGATTCTGTTAAGATTTGTCATAATTAGTCTCTTATTTGTATTAAAATCCACTTAAACAAATTGTAAAACTCTGTGGAATATGTTGGCACTATAGGTATGCTGGTAATATAATAATCCAGACATTGAGATTCAGTGATTTTTGCCAGTTGCTCCAGCAATAATGAATTAGAAAGAGGGAAACAGGAACAAGGGGTAAACAACGAATGGAGTAAAGACAGATGTTGTGATCGGAGTTTCCATATATAATGGTCCAGTCCCTGTTCTAATACAGAGGAACAATGCATTTACTAAAGCATGAATACAAATTTACATCTCGATGATAGACAGACAGACAGAGACATAACAATATTAAAAAAAAAAAATTAACATCAAATTAATATCATCACAAAAAAAAGCATAAAAGAATGGGCATTAAAATATTATTACCAAGGATATGTGCAGAGATTACCCTGTCTCCAATCCCAGGGTGCCTTATAACTGCTGATATTAATAAGAATTGCAAAGACATCGGAAGCAGAAAGTTTTACTTCCTCCTATCAAACTTGTGTATGTAACATGCATAAGACACACATTCAACTAAGAAAGGCCTTTCTCTCCTCAATTGGAGAGGGCTAGAGCTGCACTCCTGTGTACATGTGGGTAGAGGCTCTGGACATTTGTCTATAGGCCTATTCACAAAGCTGGCAGTGTTAAAACTGAAAGCAGTTCATGGGATGATTAAAAAGTCCATGGACTACAAGGAGAGACTACTGATTGGAGAAGCCTCTTCCTTGTCAGGGTAGGTTCTGCGTGCTGCCGATACAATAACTAGGGACTTTAAAGGTAGGTATTGGTTTTCATTTTGCATACATTATCTATTTAGTGCACAAAAATGAGATGTCAGTCCCTGCCTTTTATGTCCCTGTAGTCACCATTTCATGTTCCATTATATAGTGCAATTAATGCCATATTAAATACACCTAATGCATGCACTAAACCTCTGTTTATTATCTAAAGTTATTTATTGCATATATATAATGCCCGAAACACACATATATTAATTAATAATACAGTAAAATTTATCAACCTCCCTAATATTGAAAAATACATTTTCTGATAAAATACAGTCTACATGTAATCAGTCCGATTAAACATCAGATGGACATGGATAGACACTCTGCTTTCTAATGAACTGCACACACGTCTGAATCTCCAATGGCCAGAGTGATAGGATGCTGATCAGAGCTTGCAACTCACAGACTATGTTGCTATAATCAATTGCTTTCTAATATAGGAACGTATATGGTGTTTTGGTTCTATGAAATTCATCTTAAATCTCACACACAAACCACTGAGCTTATTCATTAATTAATTGCTAATTCGACTTAGATTTTCTTAAACTTTCTTTAATTAAAAATCTAATTAAAAATAAAAACCATTATTAAACAGAAGCACTTAAATTGTGGAGTTGAAAACAGGCTGATAAAACCATTATGCTAAAAGGTGTGGTCACAAATATTCACTTCTGCTGCACGACAGTGTCTTGATGGAAAACTGGGTCAAGAAAATATTTAATATAATAAAAAAGGCCTGCAGTAGAAATCAATAGGATTTTTCCTTGGATAAATCTGAAGAAATCATGCTGCACTAGTGCTGTCCCCATTTTTGTGTTTGTAAGACAAACATAGTTAGATAAAGATTAATTAGAAAATATCTATACCTAGAACCGTAGAGTTAATTGCTCTAAAATTCCAAAACATCATAAAATAATCATAATAAAGAAAAACAGAACCTACAATCAAATATATATATATATATATCCATCCATACAACCATAAACATCCTAATATATATGTTTATGGTTGTATGGTTAATAGATAGACGGATATTAGGATGTTTATAGTTTTATGGCTAATAAATAGATATAAATTGGGAGGTTTATGGTTAAATGGTTAATATATATTAGGATGTTTATGGTTATATGGTTCATAGAAAGATAAGGAGGTGTGTAGGAGGAAGTGAGGTGTAATAAATGTTTATGCATATCTTTCAATGTAATATTTTTGTTGTAACATGGGGTTGGGGGGGAGGGACATGATAATGTAGATTTTATAGTACACTTGAATTAGTGAAATATGCCAGTGATAGAGAGAGATGCTGGTTATTAACAGACATTGTTAGTGCCAGTCAAGCAAAATGAATAGGTGTATGCATATCCACTTGGTATATACAGATACTGAAAGGGAACTGCATGTACACCCCAAGCAAAATGATGCACAGGTGTTTCCTCTTGTGATAGGAAGTGAGAAAAAAAATCAATAAAAATAAATTAGAAAAGGTGTCATGTGCCATGGCTGTTTATAGACTTTGCGTGAATATAAATAGTATCTAAATTACAAAGGGTACACAAATCTATTTTGATAGTTGCTTCCTCAAATTATTACATGGACTATATAAACAAGAATTTGAAGTTGTCAGGATATGCATTTCTTAATACACATGTTGTTTTCCCAACTGCACGGAACCCAATGTTCCATCCACTGTACTTTCAGATACTGCTGTACATCCTTGTCATTATTTTCCTGGGATTAATAACATAAAAAACAGCAAAAAAAAAGTAGTTTAGAGTTTTATTGGGTCTCTTTCAGTTTTAAATGGCCAAGTACAATACCAGACAGACTTGTGGTTGCATTGCTGTTTCCTTGTCGATGTAAAGTCACTAGCATCTAGTACCATGCTGTACATATACACCTGCATGCACACATCACATCGCTTTATAGAAATGGACAACCCTTTTATTGTGAAAGTTAAACACATTTAGTTAATTGCGATCTACAAAACCTGAGAAGCTTAAATGTCAAGTAACACTGTCTCCATAGGCAAATCAATTAAGTGGCACTGTTAATCACAAGTAAAACTGATTTACTGAACTATATTAAATTACAGATAATGGTACAAAAATAAACATTTTTCACATGAGCATTAAACACATACTATACTCCAAACATACACAGTACGTTTAACATATAAATCACATATTTATCCCTTCATATTCTTTTGACTTAATGCAAGATGCATCGTGCCATATGTCAAAAATAATTATTGTAACGTTCAGTACTGAGCTGTAAAAGTCTTAACGCTCAGAGTATATGCTGTTTTACATACATATTGGGTCTATCAGCAGTTAGTGAAAACAGGTCAAAAAAAAGATATGAAAGGTCATGTTAAATCCCTTGTATTCTGCTGTGAAAAAAAAAATCTCTCCTTAGCCGAGAGGCCTTTGCATAAAAACACCTATTGAATTAATAAAGCATATTTTTGTCATTAAATTTACCAATTCTCATTTTTTTTTCAAGGTTAAAGCCCTTAGAATTTAGTATGCAAACGCAATATAAATCCTCTTTTTTTTTTCCTACTAGAATGGCTTCATGAAAAAGGTTCACAAATAATTGTACGTGTAATAGTTTTGTGCAACTCTTCATGGTTTGCTTATATTGTACTAAAGACTTCTAATATTTAGTACCAAGAGATTCATATACACATCAAACCCGACATTGGTACGTAGATAAGTAGGCATGTAAGTAACCTTTTGTTCACAATAGACATCATCAGTAAAAACATATTTCAACAATATTTGTCCAGTTCAACATAATGAAATTTGGCTAAAATATTTCACCACATATGTCTAATTTTTACTGACACAGCTAAATGACAGAATGACAGTAATGTTAAATGGATGTATCCAGCCCAACGCTGTAAATGAGGTGCATGTCAAATGCACCCCTACACTCTGTTTCTAAAATGAATACCTCTTCAGTACAATAATTTAAACGTCGATTGCTAAGAGAAAAGCAGATTCACAAGAAACAAAATCACCTAGTTTAGTAATACTTTAAAATATCTTTAAAACAGCACGTTACAACTTTTTGAGATACATTCCTTCACCATTATTATTAGCAGTAGTAGAACCTTATTCACAGTAAATTCTGGAATAATGTGTAAAAATAAAAATACCATTGTATAGCTTGTGAGGATAAAGAAATGGTACAGGGAAAAACACATTTCTGATTCAGCAGATGCTTCTGAAAGTGCAAATGTCTCCACAATGCCATAGAACTTTCAGCTTTCTCAAGAACAAGTAGTTCTTGTCTGCTCATTTTAGCATTTCAATTGCCTTTTACCCGTAAGATCATTACAAGGAACATCCAGATTCATTCAAGATGCATTCCGTTGTGCTAAGAGCTGGGTATGTTGGGCAATCCAGGCATCTTCTTTGTCTTCACAAGCTTGTGTCTCCATTCTGCTTATACTCTGATAGGATGTTGAGAGTCATCTCCTCACTCTTAGATTGCACATTCGCTTCACTTCTTCTAGAGGCTTTCCTCGTTGCCCTGGACAGCTTACGCCGAAAGGTATCTCCTGCCAAGAAATAGAGGATGGGGTCTACACAGCTATTAAGACTAGCAAGACCCCTAGTCACTTGGTAGGTGGCATAAACCCGGTCATTAAAGAAGCACATTTCAGGAGACTGAAAGTCCAGCCTGGCTCGCAGATTCAGATTCTTCATCACATGAAAGGGAAGATAGGACACAGCAAAAACAGTCAGCACAATAATAACCAAATAAATAGATTTCTTCCTCAGAGGTGCATTATTCATATCTTTATAGATCAAGGCTCGGACGATTAATCCATAACATCCCAGAATTAAAATAAAGGGAATACAGAACCCAAATACAGTGGTGCACATGCTGTATATGAAGTAGCTTCTTAAGTAATCATCAGAAGATGTATCAAAGCATGTGATGGTTTTATTTTTTCTGATGCCAGTACCAGAGAAGAATAAAATAGGGGCTATACCAGCAATAACAATGAACCAGACAAGTGCACTGATGTAGATGGAATTTTTCTTCTTCAACCTCCCAAGTGATTTGAGAGGATGTACTACCCCTGTGTATCGGTGCACACTGATGCAAGTCAAGAACAAGATGCTTCCATAAAGATTAACATGGAAAATAAATCTTTGCAGTTTACACATGGCATCCCCAAAGATCCAGTCTGTTTTATTAAAATAGTAAAATATCAGTGCTGGGAGGGAAAGTACATATAAAAAATCCGCAAGTGCCAAGTTGAACATGTAGACTGAAATACTGCTCCATGGTTTCATATGAAAAATGAACATCCATATTGCTACGCTATTACCAATAAATCCTGTAATGCAAACTACTATATACACAGCAGGGAGGTAATAGAACTGAAAGCCTGTCTTTGTCAGTGAGCATTTTGAGACATTCCCAGAAGATGATCCACTTGTCAGCAAAGTGCTTTGAGTAACATTCAAAAGAGCTGAGAGAAAGACTTCAGTCATGATCTTTTTTCAAGTCAAAACAGGCAGAGAGAGGAAAACAACGGGGTCGGTGACTGCAATCATCTAAAAAGGGGGAAGAAAACAAAAATAAAAAAAAATACAAAAAATAAAATAAAACATAAAAACAACAAAACGAGAAGCATCTGTCAGTTATTATACTAGTAGTCAACCACTGGTTAATGCTCAGGGAGTCTGACAATAAGGTTTATTCTGATGTGACAATTTAAATGGACACCAAGCAATAAAAATAAATGTAAAAAAAAAAATGAAAATAAAATAAAATTCACAAACTTGCACCATATTCTTTTCAGGTGGAGTATATGCAATGTATATGAATTCGCAATTAATAAGACAAACAATCCTCCCACACTAATGCATTTCATTTTGCAGGATTGCAAAGGATCTGGTTTCATTCCATCACAACAAACCATCCTTTAAATATTCTATATCAGAATGGAATGTGTCAATCATGTCATGGTACCAAGGCTCTATAGAGCTGCAATAAGCAGGACATCCCATGCTGGCATAGGGTCTCTAAGAATCAGATTGTGGTGATAGCATGAAATGCCATTGGTCATTAAGGGGTTAAACATTCTCCTATAAATTGAAAAGGGGGTTGGTCTGGTCACCATTGAAAGTAGACAAAGGGGGAGCAAAGGGCATAATTTCATAAAACTTCCACCCACTGAACTAGCCCGGGTGTGGACTGTACATGTTTCCATTTACAAGCCTTGCCTACCTCACAGCGTGCTCCTTGCGATCCTGGCAATAGGAAACCTTCACAGTGCTCATTTCAGCCAGCAAGACACAGTGGGACAGGGTATTGCAAAAGTTGCATTTCCCTTGAGAAGCTCCCCGGCAGCACTGTGCAAGATTCTGCCTTCCCACATTGATTCTTTCACACACAGAGAAACTCTGTAGCCGCACTCCTCAATAGAATGAGAAAGAGACAGTGAGGAATGGGAGGGAATCAGGGAGAGACAGAGGGGGTGGGAGGGAGTAGAGTGTAACCTCCTTGTACACTTGTCACAGGCAAGCAGGCGTGGCTTCCCAGCTCATCCCACTAAAACAACATAGATTCTGATAAGGAGAATTTCCCACAGGCTTGTATTATACTCCGCACTTCTTTCTCTGTGATCCATTTTGACAACCGTAGTGAAGAGAAAGAAAGGGTTTGTAGCCAGCAGGGAATAAGACATCAGTTGTATTTGAGTTTTTGATCAGATTTATGCAGATTAGAAGAGTGTTAGTATAAGTACGGCAGCAAGTTACTGTCAGTGTTTTAAGATCTGCAGGGGGTGTGGATCAAAGTGTGAAATGTCAGGAATTTCCAAATGAATTCAGACTGAATGTTTCAAATTTTAGTCTACAAGAGTCACACGGTGGGTATAGTTGACTTTGGGATTTTTTTTATTTATTTTTTAAACTTTCAGCTATTTTCTTTGCGGGTATTTAACACTTTGGTGAACTACCGAAAGGGGTTTATTCACTAAACACAGAATTGTCGTGAACTGAAAACCAAGTGTAACAATTCTGGCTAAAATAGCTGATATTGAAATATTCGCCAGTTCAGCTTTAGTTACAGTTTGGATATTTTAGCCTAGAGTTTGCCATTTGGATTTCAAATTCCCTCTTAGTGAATAAAGGCTAATCATTAAAACTTCTGCAGAAAATTGCTTCCTGCATTCAAGGCTTAAGATTACTTGCAGGGAAACCAGGGGAAAACATGTAGGTCCCCAGCAGCAGGGAACAGTGGCTACAAAGCACATCTTCGTTTAACTGACAATACAAAGTGGGGAATAAGGCAAGCGAAATAATAGCTGTTTGAATGTCTGCTTTCAGGAAATGCAAGCCTTCCTGTGCAAACAGAGCATTGTTGGTGGGTGTCTTTCAATGGGCTCCTGGGGTATTCACGTAAGCATTTTATTTATTTACAGGGGACACTAAACAAATGGGACATTGTAACAGATTGTTAAGGGTTGCAGCAGACCTACTTTAAACATCTTTCGAACATAAACAGATAGACTGTAATGGTTTAAATTAGCTAGCGAATAAAGCCATTCTTCACTCCAGTTCCAACACTAGCATAATATTACATAGTGATGGACAGGGCTTGAAAAGCGCTGCCCTGTACTATATAAACTTTCAATGCAGCAAAGAGGAAATCAGAATATTAAAGGAACACTATAGTCACCGAAATTAATTTAGCTAAATAAAGCAGTTTTAGTGTATAGATCATTCCCCTGCAATTTCACTGCTCAATTCACTGTCATTTAGGAGTTAACCCCTTAAGACCGGAGGGCGTACTATTACGCCCTATTTTAGGCGGCTCTAAACGCCGCCGGGCGTAATAGTACGCCCTCCGGTCTTTCTATACTTACCCGGTCGCCGGCGGTCCCACGCCGGTGATCGCGGTTGGGGGGACTCCCAGGGAGCCCCCTGCGGCACATCCGACCCCCTGGCAGCCCCCCCGGCCATGTGAGAGTGAGGTCCTTGCGAGGACCTCACAATCACATGGCCGGGATAGCTGCCTCCTGCATTGCCAGCAGGGGGGCTGCCTGTAATGACAGGTGGTCCCCCTGCTGGCTGGAAATCAAATTAAATTAAATTAATAAAAGTTAAATAAGTGTAACAAAAATATATATATACTTAGATCATATATATATGATCTAAGTATATATATATATACACATATACATACACACACATACACTGTCTACGTGTATTTTACTATTAATATATATATAATTATATATATATATATATATATTAATATCAAATTACACGTAGACTGATACTGATTAAATATATATATAATTATTGTTATATATATATTTATATATAATATAAAAAAATTAAATATGTAAATACATTAAAAAATAAAATAAAAAAATTATTAAAAAAATTATTAAAAAATATATAGATGTGTGTTATTTCGTTCTAACTGTATTGTGAAATTAATGTATATATATATTTATATCAAAATACACGTAGAACAAAATAATATATATATATCTATATACATAAATATATACGTATATATCACTATATATAAATAAAAATATTAAAAAAAATTATATATATATACATATATATTCACATACGTATATATGTACATATATTAATTCTACATATATATATATATATAATATTTTTACATAATTAGGTATCTTAATTAATTACAATTAGCGGGACCTGCCTGACAACCCATGCCGAAAGTAAAGGGAATTTAATTTGCTAGCACTATATTTAATCCTATAACTTTCCAAGACACCATAAAACCTGTACATGGGGGGTACTGTTCTACTCGGGAGACTTCGCTGAGCACAAATATTAGTGTTTCAAAACAGTAAAATGTATTACAACGATGATATCGCCAGTAAAAGTGACGTTTTTTGCATTGTTCACGCACAAACAGCACTTACATGGACGATATTATTGCTGCAATACTTTTTACTGTTTTCAAACACAAATATTTGTGTTCAGCGAAGTCTCCCGAGTACAACAGTACCCCTCATGTACAGGTTTTATGGTGTTTTCAAAAGTTACAGCGTCAAATATAAGGCATGTGTTTCATTTTTTTCACGTTAAAATTCGCCAGATTGGTTACATTGCCTTTGAGACCCTATGGTAGCCCAAGAATGAAAATTACCCCTATGATGGCATACCATTTGCATAGTAGACAACCCAAGGTATTGCAAACGGGGTATGTCCAGTCTTTTTTAGTAGCCACTTAGTCACAAACACTGGCCAAAATTGGTGTTTTTTGCATTTTTCACACACAAACAAATACTAACACTAACTTTGGCCAGTGTTTGTGACCAAATGGCTACTAAAAAAGACTGGACATACCCCATTTGCAATACCTTGGGTTGTCTACTATTGCAAATGATATGCCATTATGGGTGTAAATTTCTTTCCTGGGCTACTATAAAGTTCCAAAGGCAACGTAACCAATCTGGCGAATTTCAATTTAAAATGTAACGTGCTATATTTGACCCTGTAACTTCCCAAAATGCCATAAAACCTGTACATAGGGGGTACTGTTTTACACATGAGACTTTGCTGAATACAAATATGTGTATTTTATTGCAGTAAAATCAAACAGTATTATGACATTGACCGTTAAAGTGTCACGTAGAACAAAAAATATTAAAAAAATCTTATTTTCTCCCATTTTTTTTCATATTAAATTATGTTTCATAGCTAAATATTTGATATTAAATGAAAGCCCTGTTTCCCCTGAATAAAATGATATATAATAAGGGTGGGTGTATTTAATATGAAAGAGGTGAATTACAGTTGGACAGACATGTAGCGCAAATGCCAGGTTTTGTTTACATTTTGTTTCCTTCACAACGTGTACATTTGGCACCGTCCTTAAGGGGTTAAATCACTTTGTTTCTGTTTATGCAACCCTAGCCACGCCTCTCGTGGCTATGATTGACAGAGCCTGCATGACAAAAAAAACTGGTTTCACTTTCAAACAGATGTAATTTACCTTAAATAATTGTATCTCAATCTCTAAATTGAACTTTAATCACATACAGGAGGTTCTTGCAGGGTCTAGCAAGCTATTAACATAGCAGGGGATAAGAAAATCTTAATTAAACAGAACTTGCAATAAAGAAAGCCTAAACAGAGCTCTCTTTACAGGAAGTGTTTATGGAAGGCTGTGCAAGTCACATGCAGGGAGGTGTGACTAGGGTTCATAAACAAAGGGATTTAACTCCTAAATGGCAGAGGATTGAGCAGTGAGGCTGCAGGGGCATGTTCTATACACCAAAACTGCTTCATTGAGCTAAAGTTGTTCAGGTGACTAGAGTGTCCCTTTAACCCCTTAAGGACTAAACTTCTGGAATAAAGAATGTCATGTGTCCTTAAGGGGTTAAAAGAGGAACCCAGTAAAAATATTAATGATACTTAATTCAAGTCAGCAGTTTTCATGCAGTGCCCATCAGAATAGAAAACTGGTATTTGGCATGAAAAAATATGGTTTATATGATGCTTTAAGAAATAAAACCCCTTTTCAACAATAAATTCGATTTCATGGAAATGTATCAAATACACAGAATACATAAAGGAATGAATGTCAGGGACCTTAGAGGAACACTCCACGTACTGTAAGCACTATAGAGCACTGTAGTGGTTATGATTCCAGGAGTGCTCTGGTGCCTTTCGCCCATTGTAAGCAGTCAAATTTAAAATGGTTTGACTTTATACCCGTTGACCACTGTGTGCACTGTAATGGTTCTAGTGCTTGGAGTGTTCCTTTAAAGGAGGCTCTTCAGTTTATTGTAAGAGTTATGGCAATAAAACTCTATTGGTGACTTCCTCTTTTCTTTTATTGCCAAACTGTTTTGGAGTAATTTGATCAACCCAGGGGTCTTTTTGGCAACCTCCTCTTCAGCTACATTTGTACTGTGGAAGTCATACTGAGAGCCCTAGGAATCACACTTGGTTATATGGAAGTGTGAGTGATGAATGGAAGATATGGGTTCTGGGGAGAGCCTTGGCTTTTGTCAAACCTCTCCAAAAAAAATAAAAAGATAGGGTAATGGCACCCAAAGGCTTGCTTTGATTTTCTAATCAGCTCTCATACTGTCCCACTTTTTGTTTATCTCTGTATCTCATTCTGTAAGACAGTTTGTTTCAGAGAATATTAGAATATATATCTGTACTCTACATGGGTCTATTTGAGTTTGTTTTTGGTTTAACTCAGTGAGTGCATGTCTCCTCAACTCGTCACAGCCTTATTCACTACAGTGTTAATTCAATGTGAATGCCAAATTTTAGGCCTCAATAGCCACACTATAAAGGGTTAAATGTGAAAGGGTTTATAAAATACCCCTTCCTTTCTCACCGAAGATTCTTGGCTTATAGCATATCTAATGGCTAGTGTAGGACTCACCTTTTGAGGCTTGCCTTGACGTGGCAGGTGAGCTTAAATAGTCAAATGGCCATTGGAATAAAACTAAAGAGCCTCCATTTAGGCCAGAGCGCAGGTAAC